TATAAATATCTTACATATTCTCTGAGATTAATAACGAGAGTTACAATACTCTGGAAGAACCATAAACCGGCGAGAAGTTGTAAATTGGTTGACAGACGGGGCTACACATTCATTTCTTAGATAGTTGGACAGCTTATCTATCTAAATGATATAGAAGAATGAATTATTATTATCATCACATATGTGCATGTTTTAAAATTCACCTTTGGAGGTTTCGCCTTCGCTAGTGCCTGTCTGACTTTTCCAGCATAGCTCCTCCACATCCACGTTGCTGTCTCTTCTGGGGGGGGCTACTATGTCGAGGTGGTTGATTTGTTTGGTGGTGGTTGCAAAGTTCAACCCTTTGTTGAGTACTAGCTCTCCATACATTGTCAGCTGTTTGTCACTTAGGTTTACTGCTGCCACTCCTTTTATTCGTTGGTATGTTGGCTTGTTGGTTACTCAGCTCATGAGTTTCTCCACTTTTTGTATGTGGTTCTTCTTCACCATTTGGTCTTCCTTCGTGTATGATGGCGTTGAGCATGCGATCAAGATCTGCATCTGATGTTACCTGGGATCTGAAGGTTGACTCAAGATTTGATGCTGATTTCTCTCGTACTCTCTTACCCCCGACGATGGAAGCCAATCCGTTATCTTATTAGAGCACCACTTACCCTCTCCTCTATTAGTCTGGCTCGCTCGGTCTTGATCGGGACTTTTATTTTTAGTTCTGTTGGAACAATGTTGTTGTCTCTGCATCATCATGGGAAAGTGAGGTGATTCTTTACACGTGCTAGCTTGATGTTTAGTTTTCAAACTTTCGCAGGTTAAAAATTGTTTGTGGTCCATACAGATCTGATATAGTTTTGCGGAACGATTGAGACGAGGTGTTAGTATTACTAATGGTATAATTATTTGGTGCATCTGGCCAAAGAAGAGCGAGCAGCTATCAAGACGCTCGAGATACTCCCAGCTGACAAAGGAAATGCCACCGTTCTCACAAACAAGGAGGAGTACATTCACAAACTCAACAACATAGTGAGTGATGGGTTTGTTTGTTTGAAGTTAAGCACAAAGCTACACAATGGGCTATCTGTGCTCTGCCCACCACGAGTATCGAAACCCGGTTTCTAGCGTTGTAAGTCCGCAGACATACCGCTGTGCCACTGGGAGGCGTGAGTGATGGGACATAAATAAAACTGCAGAGAGAGACGCTACATCTGCGAAGGAACGAAAAATGTCCAAGATCCTTGAAAAAGAACAAGGATAAAGGGGAAAAAAAACGAGGATAACAGTCCGAATAATTATACCATTAGTTTTACAACATTGTCCGTTTTATTTTCTCGTTTCGTTCTTGCTTTGCTCAGTAGATGGCAGCTTCAGCAGAGTATTCAACCTATTCCCAAACTACTAGAATGAAATATATTATAATTTTCCAGTACTGGTACACACATTAATTTTGGTAATTATATTTTGCTGCACAAGTATAAGTGATAATATAAGCTCAATATAACGTGAACTATCAGATCTGACGATAGATACTTAAAACCATGACTGATGTCTGAACCTCATGGCTTCTCGTAGTATATATAGCTAGATGGGAAATGTTCTTAAAATTTACCAGGACTTTTTTCTCGATTCTAAAGAAATTCTTATTTAATATAATCGCTGGTTGTTTTTCTAACTAATACATACGTATTCGTACTTTCTGCATTAAATATGTACTTGTCTGTCTATACAGATTTATTTAGAAATATTTCGTAAGTGAACATCAGACAAAATAGGAATGTACCAGAATGTTTATGATACTTGATGTAGATTATCATACTCTAATATAGAACATTTAAAACTCTAATATAGAACATTTAAAGTTTACAGTATTTCTCGTTTCTTTAAGAATATATATGCAGGGTTTCCTTTTCACACCTGTTACAAGACACGTCTTTTTCTGAAGAGTCGTAGTGCCATTAAGTACAAGGATATGAATCGTCATGGGAATTCTAAAAGTGCTGTCTCAACGCATCGTTATGATGTGCATGTATGAATATTTTAGGTCAGAAAGGGCTGTTACATACACTTCCAAACAGTGACCAATTTTCGATGGCATCGTGCCACCTTTGAAATGTCAAAAATTATCAAAATGTAGTTCTGTTACATGCCGTTCCACCGCGACTTCATATCAGCTGTGGTTGTCGTGCTGATTTACGTATTCAAAATAGTTTTATTATAATGTACTCAAGTAGTGTAGATACACTTTTTAGGGACTTCCGACAGAACAACAATGAGATCGTTGTAAGTTAAATAACAATGTTTCCATGGACAAAGTTGATATTGTGTCTCCATTGTTTACTTTCAAAACTGGTGAAGCCACCTTAGAAGTCTTTTCACGAATACGTCGAATTTAATTATTGTAAATCATCACCTTGATACATTTCTTAAAGAACGTGTTTGTTTGTTAAATTACTATACTTTTGTCGTATCTCTTTATTTGCTTTTCTTGGTTATCAACTTCCTACACCTCTTTTCATAAAAATATTCAAGAAGTTCTTAAATATTCACATGAATCTGTTTTGGCAACCTTAACCTTAAAATTACTATGTTTTATTTCACCTAAGAATCATCACCGAGTTACACTGAACAAAATGAGGCGTAGTGAATTCATAGCTAAGCTGGATGTAAATTCAGTTTTACAGCACATAAATATAATGATGTAATGTGATTATTGAGAAGTCCCTTTGGTTTGTAGAGTTTATGAGAAGCCACCTATTGTTTGTGAAAAAGCAGAATTGTGTTTTGTTTCGTTTTTATATCAAGCATTTTTGGAATGATATTTTGCTAAGATTACTTAATAAAACTGTCGTGCCAGTAAGCTAAAATGGCTATGTTAAAGTAATGAGAATAAACGTTATAGGCAAATCAAAATTAAATAAATAAATAGTGTTTGAGAAACTTAAAAACAAGTAACAGAAGTAGCCAAAAACGCTCATTCAGATTGAAGTATAAACATATGGCAAAGAATAAAGCACAATACAGTGTATGAGATATAATATTGTCGTGTGTCTAAAGCAACATACCAGAGTAATTCTTTTAAATGCTTTTGAAAAGCTCTGTTGTGTGAAGAAACTTTATGCTTGAAACATTTTATTTTATGAGGTGTCTAAGTAATATTTCAAATTAGGAATTCTAATTAATTGGTAAAGGTAGACAATCAGAGGAAAGAAATGGTATATTCCCAAATTCTAGTAGATTACTCGTCTGAACTGATGTATTTTTCTGCAAGTATAACAATTTAATTGTTTAATTAATATTGGGCTTAAATTCATGTTAAACACAAACAAGCCAAAAAAATAAAAAAAAAGTAAGAATGAAATGCAATTTAATGGTTGTATTTAGTCTCTGCACAAATTGAATAAAATATAATAAATGTTTTGAACAGTAGTGTCATTTAAAAAGGGCCTTGGGAGGCGGCAAAACAAGATGATCACATGTGGTCCTCCCATATTTGCGGGGGACACTATGCTATAGCCTGACTAGAATATTTTCACAGAAATTGCCATTTGGGGTCTCTCCCTGACCTCCCCCGCTCAAGTGACAGGGTTACTTTAGTGTGATGGACATAAATATTAAATCTGCAACTGTTAATTAAAAATTAACACAGGTTTGAGATGGCCAGTAAAGACCCTGTTCAACAAGGTATTCCAGTTTTAATGTCAGCTGGAATACATCACAATTACCCCACATACATCTCTCTCACTAACTTCGTCACTGCCTGGGAATTTTAACCAGAGGTTACACAAGTCACCACATTTATATCAATAAAACACCTTTTATTCAGCTCTAAAACCGTACAGAATTTGCGAGACCGCTTATTTATTCCCTTCAACTGACAGAAGAACAACAAAAAGGATTGTATTGAAAACGTGCAGTATATAGCATTTTTAATTTATTATTATTATATAGTATATATATTATTACAGAAATATTATCCTTTCTGGTTACCTGAAGTGAACCTGGCTCAGCATACTTATAATAAATGGCGACATTATTCTTTACTCCAAATAGTTGGGTTTGTGAACTTTGATCTTATAATGATTTGAAAATCTGTAGAACTGTAGAAGACAGTGATTTGAGAGTAAACTTTAACTTCGAACTTCAACTAAAACCACTAAGCGCGCCTCTATCCATTTTATTTATATATTTACTTCAGATTCCAGTCTTTCAACTAACCTTATTACTGTTGAATTGTTTCTATTTATATAGTTCTTCCTCGTTTGAATTTAATCGCCTTTAGGTGAGCTAATAATAAATGTTCCATGGGATCTATTCAGTAAGCCACGTGCAAGCTACTTCATGCATGTCAAAAATAACAAATAAACAAAAGGAAACATTCATATGCATATTTTAAAGACAAAGTATCTAATAGTCATTGTACTGGTTATTCCATATAATTCATAATGTTTTTGTTGTTGTTGTTTTTCCTGTTGAAGGAATCTAAACGAGGGTTATATTTTTAAAACTCTTACATATAGATACTGTTGAAACCCTCGAATAATCAAAACAGAACTACTCAAGCTATAACTTTATCAATGCTTCATAGGGTAACGAAAAATCAAAGCGTGTATCTAAATGAATAATAGACTTGTACTTTCACACATCAATACTTTATTTACTTATTTTATAACTGACATGTTCAACATCATCCCATTGGTTCCGCCATTCGTACATGATAGTTTTTGATTGTTCTGTTTGTCATTGAACTACTCCAACATGGCACCGTCGAACTTCATGTTTTCATAGGAAGAGTGTATAAACACGTAATATATTGTATACATACATATGTTGAATTAGTTGGAGGTAATTGTTTGTGGGTGAACTTCATCGATCATTGGAACGTGAGTGAACTCAACATGGAGGCATATTTAAAGACATTTGCTATTAAGAATATTATGCGAGATAAGATGCGCACGCGCTTTTCTTCGATGCGTACGTGTAATACGGCCGAGTTTCATTGCTGTTAAATGAAAAACTGTTCGTGGTTTTATATATGTATATCATCAATTTTGATACATATGCGTGAAACCACTTACTTTGTAGAATAATTTGAAAAATAAGATTAGTACTTGGCTTTTTCCAATTGATATATATAGTTCAAAAAGCAGTGTGTATACATTTACATGCGACCTCGTACGTCGAATTCAATGGTGGTCAGTTTCCTACATGTCAGCGTATAATTTAGCACGTGGGTTTATTGATTGGTTCCGTGTCGGAGATCTGGCGTCAGTCCTAGCTTTGGTTGTAGCTAAGTCATTTTAACGAAGGTCCGGGAGTTTACTGATATCTGTTGTAGAAATTAGACGTAGCTTTAGGGCTATATTGTTTTGATTTCTGAAGAATGCCCACGCTCGAAAGCCAGACCATTCCTTCAGAAACTTTAGCGTTAGACCAAAGTATCGGTAAAAGGTGAGCACGATCTGCATTTTAAGTTTAAAACAAAATTAAACATACTCTCTTGTTTCGGAAATCAACATATTACTTTTTGGTGTTTATTTTTCAGCGAATGAATTATTGTTAGTTTATATTAAGCTGTTATTAATTACATTATAAATCCAGACCGGCATTCTCTCCCGTAGAAACACTTGAAACATCGTATGAAGGTTATACGCCATGATTTACTCAGGAGTTTCTTAGTTTAACTTAGTGATATTTTGGTAATGTTATCTCGCTCGAATATGTATATCATTTTAAGAATAATCTACTGTTACATAGGCTAATTCTTATGTTACTTAATATTTTATAATTGCCCCTATGGTACTTGCATTAGTACATTCATTGTGAAAAGAGTGGGTTTATTAAATTACATACTCAGAACAATGAAATTTAACGTAGGAAGTATAGTGAGCTGTAGGATATAAAGTAAACATAGATAAATGAGCTGTATCACACTTTATAGCTAGATCTGGTCTATAAATGCTTGTATAGGAAACATTTGGTTACCATAGCAACTCTGGTAGCTTTATGCGAAAAACAATTTCATTTCATGATTTGCATGAAAATGACAAAAGTATAGTGAATTGTAATAAGATTTCGCGTATCGAGTGATCAATTTTGAATCGTATACAGAATAATTCAGGCACGTGAATGTTATTGTGGTTTGTTAATAACGACGACATGTGCGCTAGCACATTTGTTTTTCGAAGGTTGACGTCATACTAGTTAAGTCGTTCTTCGAATGTTGAGATTATTAGAGATTTTAAATTGAAGTATCAAAGCAATAACATAATGGCATTAGTATTATAAGGTTGGTGGTAAAATTGATTCCAGTTCAAGAATTAATCAGTTAATCACCAAAATAAATAAAACACGAGAAAACTTCAGCAGAAGGTCACAAAATAAGATCCGTTTGTCACTGGCAATGTCCTGGCGGATCTTAAGCCTAAGAATGGCGGTGATAATCTGTAATAGAGAAAATATGTTGTTTCTTCCATGTATATTATAAATTATATATTAATTATTTCTGTGGGTACAAATAAAACGAATGAACGGTTTTTAAAACTGAAAAAATAAACAGGATGCTTTGTAATGGTATATTTTTATAGTAAAGGTATGTAAAATATTATTATTACTCACATAGAATACTATTAGTATTATTAATATCAATATAAATATACCTTCTTTGATTCTACATCAGTCTCATATAAGAGGTACATGTATTGGCAACTTCCCAAATTTGTGATATTTTTGACAATCGGAAAACCAAAAGTATATTTCTTAATTTTCAAAAACTTATTTCCTTGTACCAATTCATTACTAATGCTATATATGTGTTTTGAGCAAACACGTCTTCCTCATAGATCATTACTGTGTGTAATCTTTAATAGTCAATCTCACCGTTGTAGTAAATACCACAAAGGTATACCTTGGATTAAGCTAATTCCCATCAACAACTGAGGAAGTACACTATCCTACCAAAAGTCATGGGACACTGGTAGTTATGAATAAAACATATCTTTATTCGAAGAAGTTATTAGCGTGTTGGCTTGCCTTTTGCCTTACTGACTCTTTCAGTGTGTCGTGGAACACTGTCTACTAATTTCTGGTAGAAAGCTGTTGGTGTTATGAACCACTCTTTTTTTAAAGCATTAGTAAGCTTCATTACTGAAGAGAGCCATCTTGGCCTTGCCCTTGCCCTAATTCTGCATTCCAGTTCATCCCAAAGATGTTCTGTTGGGTTGAGGTCAAGGCATTGTGCTGGCCATTGCAATGTTCCGATGTTATTCTCTTCAAACCATGCATTCACAATCTTTGCTTTGTGACATGGAGCGTTATCACGGTGAAAAGTGTAAGGGACGGTACCATAAAATTGCCACAGTGTAGGACACCTAGAATCGTTCAGTGTAGAACATCAGTGTAGAACTCGGCATTCATGGATCCATGCACTGCGACAAGTTGATCCTAGTCCATACATGAGAAGCACCCCCAGATCATGAAACTACCACCTCCAAACTTCATTGCCTGGACAACACACTCAGGTAATAAGCGTTCTCCACACATCCTCCATACCCAAACAAGTCCATCAGACAGGAAGAGCATGACTCATTACTCCACAGGACCGATTTCCATGGTCCAGGTTTAGTGTGCCTTGCCCCATGCCAGTTGACAGTATGTATTTGTTTTTGTTATCAATGGCTTGTGAGCTGCATCTCTTCCGTGAAAATTCATGGCATACAGCTCTCGACGTGTTGTGGAAATACTTATAGGATTGCCTGTGGCTGCTCGCATCTCCAAACACAGATTCTCTGGAGTCTGAGGGTGAGATGAGGTAACCAGCCTTCTCAAGGTACATCGGCTCCTGTCAGTCAATATATTACATCTACCTGGTCGTTTCTTGGGCTCATTTGCACCTGTGGACTTCCATTTCTTCAGCACATTGCCAATTGTTGACCTAGGAATGTTTAATTGTTACGCAATAGCATGTCAACATTTTCCCCCAATGACTTCCAACTATCCTTCCCCTCTGTTAGCTCTTTCTGAGTACTTATCGTTTGGTGTACAAGTTCACAATGACTTCCGAACAAACTGCTGATCACCCTAATAGGCCAAACTATTTGTATATTTCATCATCACATCCATTTTCCTGCAATCAGAGGTGTGTCCCATGACTTTTGATAGGACAGTGTATGTGGTATTGGAGTTCCTATAAGTTATAACCATAGTTAGCAGTGTTAAAAACTTGTACGTATTTATTTAATTAACAACTGAACAATTCTTACACATTATAGAACTTACATAATGCTCATTTGAATGATTAAGGCAGTACAATCAGGTATTGTAATCTTTCCATTGTTCTACCTCCAGTTAATGTAGGTTCTATATCAAGATTATTTCATTGAGGGCTAGGAGTGGTTAGTGTCAGCCAAGCTGTGGATTGAATGGTCTGGGGTTTAAAGTGTGATGGCACTGAACACTTTCCACACATGTAGAGGTGGACACATAAAAATGACAATCAATCTCATTACTTGACTCAAATAGCTAGATAAAACCCTTGGGATAGTAGGTGGTTTTGGCTGGTGGATCTTTTTCTAGTTACTAGTTCAGAATCAGGTACAGCTATACCTGATTCTGTAGGTCTCTGACTTAGCCTGTTGGTAAACATGTGCACTTATGTTGAAATTGACAATTTATTACATTGGCACTTTAGAAAATAGTGACCACAACGAGATGAAGGGTGGTTAGTATTGATTGGTTGAAAAATTTTGATTATTTCTGATTAATTTTGGTTTATAGTAAACAATGATGATTCATATTTCATTACGTAGAACCAAGATATTAAAAAAAAATCTCTAAGTTATTTTTATACTTTTCCAACAGCATACAGCTTCATTAAGTTACTTTTTTTTTCATCTATGCATGTTTTATTTATTTTAAACACAAGCTTGTGGAGTTGATCTTTTGGGATGAAATAATTCATGTGTTTGTGTAAATGTTTATGTTAGAGTCAAATAAAATCACTCTTAAATTTTTACATTAGTATTTTAACACTTTGTTGAACCTTTTGTGGGTGGTGATGTTCTGAATTTACCTGAACCTGAGAATTCAATACAGTATATTTTACTAGGTTGTCAGTGGGGTCCTGCATGTATATTTGTTCTAAATAATGATATTGTTAACTGTCTTTTAATTTTTTAAATTTTATAGTAATAATATAATTGTTGATTATTAAGTAGGTTGATAAAAAAAATTAGATTTTTCAAGCAACATGTTAATGATATCCTAATTTCACATGGTTTTAGTTTTGTTTCCAAACATTGTTTTGATGTTGATGTTTTTCCTCCAGTGCGAAGATAAAACTTATCACTAACCATAAGATTTTACATTGCTTAAAAGAAAGTTATCTATTAATGGAAATAGTTTCTATGAGGTGTAAATGGCTGTAAGTGTAACTGTTTAATGTTTGGTTTTCAATCTTCATATTTTCAGTTTATAATGTAACGTGCTACTAAACTAGCTGTTGTTTCTTTATGACAGTTTTTTATCATTACTTTTATGTATTTCAATCAGTTAAGTTTTTTAAGAATGTTAACTATTTCATAAATATTTGTTCCTCTGTAGAATGGATAGTACTATTACTACTTCTGTAAACCTTGTTAAGAGTGAGAGTAATTCCGACAGAGAGAGTGAAAAATCATCGTTACTTTCAAGCAAAACTTCTCCAGGTGCTTGTGATTCAGAGACTGCAAAGGACAGGTACGCATGAAAAGATCATTCTACCGTATAGGCAAGAAAATGTGTTAAATACCAAATCATAATGTAACAGTTCCATAATTTTTAGGTTCATTATAATAATGTCTACATCATACGGTTCAACCTTTTGTCAATGGATAACTGGGTTGTGAAAGATAAAACATGGGGCAGACATAATTGATCATTTATATGACATACTAAAATGGAATTTTATTCTAAGAACTTATTTGTACAGAAAATCTTCTTTAATACACGAAATTTGTGACTCATAATAAGTGCATGGTTTTAGGAAATCAGTTGTGGGTTTCATTGGTTGCAGTCCATGGGCTACAGTTGGACAAGAAGGAGATTACAGTGAGTCTGTGCATGTGAAAGTTGTGTAATACCTTGGGTTTTAATGTGGATCAACAAATAACTCGTAGGTTTAGGGGGGGGGGAAGAGACTGAATAACTTATTGAAAGAATAATAAATTTTATTTGTGTACTTTTATTAAGTTCTATTAAAATGCCTTGATACTGTATAGTGGTACAGAGAAGAAAAAAGAAGAAAAGGATGAAGAAGAATGTAACCACGATCGGGAAGAGGAACATGAAGATCTCGGCTTTGATGCCAACAGCTATCAAGCTGAAACTGTAGACTTTCCTGAGAGTCCACAGCACTTAAAACTCCTAAAGCAAAAGACTCGAGAGGCTCAGGTTGCTAAAGCAAAGTGTTTAACTTTTGGATAGAGAAAGATTTAATGGCCAACAATAATGTGTTTCATAACACAACATCATGTGATGTGTATACATATTGGCTGATTTTTTTCTAATATTAGATTTATAATATAATAACATTTTTTTTGTAAATACCATAAAATTTACAAATTACTTTTTATTTGTTCTTTATTTCATTCTACTAAAAATTAGTAATACAGTGTTTGTATTGAATACTATTTTCATGCAGATAAATATTCCAAAAATATTTATAATAAATTGATAAGGAGGTTAATAAATCATAACGTTCATGTTTTTGGATTATTTTTAGTAATTTACCCAAAGACCCGACTAGAATGTTTGTTACGTTTTCAGAAGTAAATGTTATCTGTACAAATTTCCATGCAAAGCTTTGGAAAAGCAGTTCAGACTGTTTAAAACATCCAAATAAAATCTTAATAAAGTATCAGAAAATTTTTAAAAATCAGTTTTAGTAACAGATGCTAGTATTTTCTTTTAAAATTTTATCTCGTCTACAGGAACTGTCAGTTTTAAGTCATTTTATTTCAAGTCTCTAATGAAATGAAATATATATCTATTATCAAAACATTTGAACTTTAACTCATCTAAGTGATATGGGCTGTTTCTTTTAAGGTTATCTGGCTAAAAATCTACATTTAGTTGATAAACAAATCACAAGACATTAATTAGTTGAACGGTAACTTGAAACTTTGTGTCTAAATTTAGGAAACTAAATAAATACTAATGATATAAAATGTAGGTTAATGTTCGTTCTATTTATTACTGTGAACTTGTCACTAATTTCAAAATTTTGACCAATATACACTATACCCACTTAAAGTTTACATGTTTATTTATTTATTGTGTTTCTGCCAAATACTCATGAATAATAGTTCTCATTTACAAATAATTCAATTTTCTTTATCAGGGTTTGGGTCCTGATGATGATGATTTAACACAGAATTTAAGTAGAAAAGATTCAGTACCGTCCACCGATGAGCAACTTTCAAGACAAGGTAAAACACTTGTATTAACTTGTTGCTATTTGATATTGAATTTAACAAAAAACAAAGCAAATGCTAGTAGTAGTAGTAGTTGAGCTAACTTTAATTTTTTTATTATATATGGTCCAAGAATCTAATAATTCAATACTTTTCTTACCTTGAACAGGAAGAAGTGTTGTGCGGTTTTAAAGTAACCGAGCTATCTTTCAATACATTCGTTAGTTATTGAACTTATGTTTATTTTTTTATATTTGATGTTAGTGTCTGTACCTCATGACATCAGAAACTTGAAATTTGATTTGATAAAATTAATATTTCTGTTGTGGTAGAACATTTATCTGTAAAGGCTGCCCTTTCAAGAAAATTAACAATCATTTGTATTTTGCAGTTACACTGTTTTAATGGTGAACTAGCTTAACCCTTCCATTACGGGTTGGGTGGAATCCACCCAGCTCGTAACCATGAGAGTAATTATACTATGTTTTTGATAATGCATGTACATCTTTACAAAATTTTGCAGGTTATTGGTAAACATTACAAGGTTTATTTGTACACAAAATATCACG